ACACCCTGTTTCCTGGCAGCTGATGGCCTGGGCCCTTCCCCCCTGCAAGGTGAGAGCTGAAAGGTTGGAGAACAAAGGAATCAGGTGGCCTCCTGGCCCGGGAAAGGGACAAAGCCCAGAGGAGGAGGGGCTGGAGAGAGTTTCAGTTTGGGGCTGGCTGGGGACGAGGAGTGAAGTGCAGACGTGGTTGTCTGGCTCGCTGCCCCCCAAAATGGACCCAGCTGAGGGGTCCTGTTCTCTGCACCTACAAGCTCTGTGTTAGACCATGTTCCTGTCATCTAATAAACCTTCTGTTTTACTGGCTGGCTGAGAGTCACATCTGACTGCGGAGTTGGGGGACAGGACCCTCTGGCTTCCCCAAAACCCCGCCTGGGCGGACTCGCTGTGGGAAGCGCACGGAGGGGCAGAGGATGCTGAATGCTCCGAGGTCAGACCCAGGAAGGTGGAAGCCGTGTGAGCTGTGTGTCCTGCAAACAGGGTGCTCACAGAGAGGAGACTTCCCCAGAGTCCTGCCTGGCTTCGTAGGGAGCAGTTCCGCATCACGCGGGGACTCCGTGACACACGCCCAGTGCTTTGCAGGCTGTTGGGGTCTCTTGCCCACTGCTGAAATGTGGGCACCTCTGGGGTGGACCATGGCAGCTGTTTAGCAGCGCGCAGCAACACCACATGAGTAGTTGGGGGCCAGGAAGCGCGGCAGGAACCTGTATCCAGCTGAAAGTGCAGGGGAAACTAGAAATCCAGCTGGCAGCTCCCCAGACACTGCAGATCCCCACATGCAGGGCAGCCAGTGGAGCAAGACACAGCGTTGCCTGCTGGGCACCGGCATCCCCTGGAGCTGCACCAGAGAGGAGGGACGCCGAAGTCCCTGGCCAGAGCTTGGTCTTTAGGGCAGGGTTGGGAGGTGGATTTGCATCTGGACCCAAAGCTCTGGGGTGTGGGGATGCCCAGGGCTGATGCCCCAGTTTATCAGCAAAGGAGAGGCTGCCCTGGACATAACTGCCATCTCGGCTGGGGTGCTGGTCATGCTGCCATTGGATCCGATGCCCCCTTGCCCTGCCCGTTGTGCTGTCATGCACCTCAGCCCTGCTGGTTGCCCCTGAACCAGCCCGGCACTTTTCAATGGGCAAGTGCACCCTGTGGTATCGGGGGCTGGGCCTTTAAGGGCTGAGCTTCCCAGACAGAGTGCACGTGGGGCGCTGAGACTCTCAGCCTTTTAAAGGCCCAGTCCCCACCGCACTGGGGGCATGACCGGGGGCAGCCCCTTTGCACAACTATTATAGCTAAAGGGGCTACTGACTGTGTGGCTTGGTGGAAGCACAGTCCTTGTTGATTAATAATCACTGCCCCCATGACAGCAGGAGACCTCCAAGGGCAGCCACGCTCCATAGACTGACCCTGCCCATGGGTCACCCCCAGGGTTTGCACCCAGAAACTTTACCATCGTAGCACTGGTTGCTCGTGCTCGAAATAAAGGGGTGGCTCTATTAGGTGGTAGCTGTAGTAGGCTTTTATCTTTCAGCAGCCCAGTCGTGACAAAGGACTGCGACGTGCCCTTTGCCAAGGTGCTGGAACTGTTGCTTTCCACCCAGCTAGCTGGCAGGATGGGATCAGCGGGGAGGCCAGGGCAGAGCCATAAGCATGGCTAGGCTGGGTCCGATCAATCATAGAATCATAGAATCATAGAAGATTAGGGTTGGAAGAGACCTCAGGAGGTCATCTAGTCCAACCCCCTGCTCAAAGCAGGACCGATCCCCGACTAAATCATCCCAGCCAGGGCTTTGTCAAGCCTGACCTTAAAAATCTCAAAGGAAGAAGAGTCCACCACCTCCCTAGGTAACCCATTCCAGTGCTTCACCACTCTCCTAGTGAAAAAGTTTTTCCTAATATCCAACCTAAACCTCCCCCACTGCAACTTGAGACCATTGCTCCTTGTTCTGTCATCAGCTACCACTGAGACCAGCCACGCTCCATCCTCTTTGGAACCCCACCTTCAGGTAGTTGAAGGCTGCTATCAAATCCGCCCTCATTCTTCTTTTCTGCAGACTAAGCAAGCCCAGTTCCCTCAGCCTCTCCTCATAAGTCATGTGCTCCAGTCCCCTAATCATTTTTGTTGCTCTCCGCTGGACTCTCTCCAATTTGTCCACATCCTTTCTGTAGTGGGGGGCCCAAAACTGGACGCAATACTCCAGATGTGGCCTCATCGGTGCTGAATGGAGGGGAATAATCACTTCCCCATATCTGCTGGCAATGCTCCTACTAATACAGCCTAATATGCTGTTAGCCTTCTTGGCAACAAGGGCACACTGCTGACTCATATCCAGCTTCTTGTCCACTGTAATCCCCAGGTCCTTTTCTACAGAACAGTCGGTCCCCAGCCTGTAGCGGTGCATGGGATTCTTCCATTCTAAGTGCAGGACTCTGCACTTGTCGAACCTCATCAGATTTCTTTTGGCCCAATCGTCCAATTTGTCTAGGTCACTCTGGACCCTATCCCTACCCTCCAGTGTATCTACCTCTCCCCACAGCTTAGTGTCGTCTGGGAACATGCTGAGGGTGCAATTCATCCCATCATCCAGATCATTAATAAAGATGTTGAATAAAACTGGCCCCAGGACCGTCCCCTGGGGCACTCCGCTTGATACCGGCTGCCAATTAAACATCGAGCCGTTGATCACTACCTGTTGAGCCTGACAATCTAGCCAGCTTTCTATCCACCTTATAGTCCATTCATCCAATCCATACTTTTTCAACTTGCTGGCAAGAATATTGTGGGAGACCGTATCAAAAGCTTTGCTAGCCAAGGTATATCACATCCACCACTTTCCCCATATCCACAGAGCCAGTTATTTCATCGTAGAAGGCAATCAGGTTGGCCAGGCATGACTTGCCCTTGGTGAATCCATGTTGACTGTTCCTGATCACCTTCCTCTCCTCCAAGTGCTTCAAAATGGTTTCCTTGAGGACCTGCTCCATGATTTTTCCAGGGACTGAGGTGAAGCTGACCGGTCTGTAGTTCCCTGGGTTCTCCTTCTTCCCTTTTTTAAAGATGGGCACTATATTTGCCTTTTTCCAATCATCTGGGACCTTCCCTGACAATTGGAAAAAGTCCCCCATGAGTTTTCAAAGATAATGGCCAATGGCTCTGCAATCACATCACTCAATTCCCTCAGCACCCTTGGATGCATTAGACCCATGGACTTGTGCATGTCCATCTTTTCTAAATAGTCCTTAACTTGTTCTTTCACCACTGAGGTCTGCTCACCTCCTCCCCATACTGTGTTGCCCAAAACAGCAGTGTGGGAGCTGACCTTGTCTGTGAATGGTTCGTCTTAACAGTATCATGTCTCTGAGCTTCCGGGGGAGTGGTCCCCTCCTGGCTTCTGGCAGTCAGAGGTTTAGGGTCACCCCAAGTGTGGGGTGGCATCCTTGGCCATCTTAACCAATGGCCACTCATGGACCTATCTTCCATGGACTTACCAAGATCTTTTTTGAACCCTGTTGTACTTTTGACCATCACAACATCCCCTGGCAATGAGTTCCGCAGGTTAATTGTGTGTTGTGTGAAGAAGTCCTTCCTCTTGGTTGTGTAAAACATGCTGCTTGTTCATTTCACTGGGCGACCCTTGGTTCTTGTATCATGGGACAGGATGAATAACGCTTTTCTACTCACCTTCTCTTAATTGGTCATGATTTCATCAACCTTTCTCACATCCCCTGTCAGTCATCTCTTGTCTAACCTGAACAGCCCTGCTTTGTCCGGCCTCTCCTCACATGGAAGCTGTTCCATACCCTGGCTCATCCTTGGTGCTTTTCTCTGAACCTTTCCCAACTCTGTTCTCCCCTGGGACTGCCAGACCTGGGCACAGAATTCCAGGGGTTAGACAGCGTTGTGATGGCAGGGGTGCTGCTGGCAGCTGGAAAGGGGCCAGCTCGGTGCTTGAGCTCACTCCATAGACATGCTGGCCTTCTGGGTGGGTGCTGGCATGACAGGTGTGGGTGGTAATAATGCCACCCCGGCAGCAGCCTGGGCTTGGAGTGCTCGAGGCTCCCTGTAGGCTATCCAGAGCTTGCCTGGCAGCCAGCACAGAACGCAGGTCTTACGGCCTCAGCTGGGGGCTGGGTGAGCTGCCGCTCCCAGGTGTTTTTCACAGCTGTGCCCAGGCGGGGCCCATCAGGGTGACCCAACGGAGACAGCATGAACGAGGGACTGGCCATCTAGGGCCGTCTCTGAGTGCCTCTCACAGCAGGGCAGCATCCTCCCTCCACCCGGCTGCCACTGCACCCAACCTGTGGTAGCGATCAGGTTGTCCTCTCTCCCTGCTGTCCCCGTAGAGCTGTGCCCATCACAGGACAGGTGGGGACAGTGCCATGCTGTGCACTGCCTGGGGAGGGGAGTGTGTCTCCAAGTGATGGGTTTGTTGGTTGGTGCCTCCAGAGGCTGCTGGCTCTGCCTCTTTGAGGCTGGCGGAGGGGCGATTGCAGGGATCCGGCTGACACCCATCTGTGGGGGGCGGGGGGGAGATGCCAGCCTTCACATGGCAGACAGCTCGTCAGCTCTCACCAGTCCCCAGCGAGATTTCCTTCTAGCACCCATGGGGAAGCCCCTGGGTGTGTCAGCTTCGAGCTGGTGGCCCCTTAGCAGCAGGCCCAGGACGGGTCAATGCGGAGGCCCCCGTGCCATAGCCCTGGGCAGATGCGGGACCCTGTGGCTAGCCTGGCTCTGTGGCTGCTGGCTGGGAAGGGAGGGCAGCTGGATGGCAGCAGGCTGGTGGGTGACCCCATTGGCATTTCCGTGTGCCCAGGGGGAGACTGATTTAGACCTGGAGGCCATCCCAAGATGGGATTTCGGGCAGGTCAAGCTCCAAGCCCGTGGCCCGGACACATGTTATTCTGTTTGTGTTCCCAGCCCCACTGAGCCCCAGTCTGTGCTCTGCCGCCTGGCCCAGCCCCACGGGGAGACGCCATTCTCTAGGGCGACTGACTATTCTTCTTTCCCACAGCCAGTGCCGTCGCCCCAGTGAGCCCGGCATCCCCACCTGCTGGCAGAGATGGACCCCGGGGAGATCCCCATCCAGACAGAGCTGGTGGAGCTGGTGCCCAATGGGAAATACGCTGTGAACGCCTCGGCCATCCCCTTGGTGGGGAATGACAGGTAACTCCAGCGCATGGGCAGAGGGCTGGGGCTTGCCTGCCCAGAGCCAGCTGAGAGACAGGGTCATTCTGTCTTCCTGAATTTGGCAGGGGATGGGTTAGGAACCCTCGCCAGGTCCAGGCACAGTGAAGGCAGGTGCCATGCAAGTGTCCCCTTCGCAGCTCTGCCAGGGCTTCTCACTCCCGACCTGCAGCCCCCTGCTAGCCCAGCCCTGGGCTCCCCCACACACATCCCAGCTCTGCCAATGCCCCCCACTCCTGCCCCATGCCCCCCCCAGGCTCTGCAACAGGCAGCCAAGAAAACAAAGTGAGGTGGGGGCTGATCCCTGTCTAGGGGCTCAGTGGAGCAGCCCCTTGGATCCCACGTGCTGTTCTGGGACCTCCATATGAGAAGGCCCCATTGCCGGGCTGAGAAGAGCCAGAAGCCCAGAAGGATTGAGTGGCTGGTGAGGCGGATTGATGGGGAGCCTGGCTGAGCAACAGCGCAGGGGGATGCAAGCAGGCACGGGGAGGGGGGGGGGTGTGGATAGCGCTAAGCTGCATGGGCAAGTCCTGCTCCAAGCAGCATGGTGCAGTCTGACCTCAAAGGGCCAGCTCCAGACTGAACCTGGGGAAGAATTTGCTTCCAAGAGGAGAATGACAGGACCACACACCCCAGTGCAGCCAGGAGCAGTAGTAGTCTATTAAGACTGGACACAGGAGAGCTGGGATCTGCTGCCTTGCAGGGTGATGCTGAGCAAGTCCCAGCCCCTCTCTGCCTCAGTTTCCCCAGGGGATTCTGGTGCTCACCCCGCCTGGAGGGGATCCTGTTTCTGGAGCACTTTGAGCCCCTTGGAGTATTGGTACTGGAGGAGGGTGAGGGATCCGTGCCAGTCATTCAGGGACGCTCTGCTTTACCATCCAGTCCCCCCCAGGGTGCCATCAGAGATAAGGCTCCCCAGGGGCAGGCTGGAACCTCCTGGCCAGTGGAGCGCCCTGGAGCGGGAGCCAAGGGAGGTGGAGGAGATGGAGTGGCATGGTCCTGTTCTGCCTTGTAGCCCGGGAGGTGGCAAGGGCAGCCCAGGTGGTGCCAGGGGGAGGGAGCACCCCACTGCGGTGGGTGGTTTATGGCTCTTCTCTCCCCCCTGCCTTGCTCTAGATTTGAAGAGCCCCAGCCCACCATGGCAGAGATGGAGGAGTTCCTGCCCCAGGGCCCTGACAAGAAGCAGACCCACTTCACGGATGTAAGTCCGGGCAGGAGAGTGGCTGGTGGGGTGACTGCAGCCTGGGCACCTCTTCACGCTGCTTGCCAAGAACCTGACCCTCAGGCAGGGCACAGACCCACTGCCCTTCACTGCAGAGTGGGGGCAGGACAGGGCAGGGGAGTGGGAGTCGGGAAATCCAGGTCCAGCACCCTGCCACCATGGGCTGTCCCCTGAGCTCATTCCCTGGGTCATAGAGAGAGCTGGAGAGATCGCCCGGGTTCTTTGGTTTCACCATAAACATCCAGTTTAGCGTGTGTGACCCATTTGCCCTCTGGTGGCTGGTCCTTCTAGACGATAAAAGCCTACTACTGCTGCTCACAGCTTATGGAATTGTTCCCCTAGCCCAAGTGATCAGAGCTCTTGCATTTAGTGCTGATGACCCCTGTGGGTGTGCGAGTGGACTTGTTACATGGACTTGATGGCTGCCCTCTTGGCCTGCTCCCCAGGTATTGAGCCAGGTGCCAGGCTGCCCTGCAGGGGCACAAGAGCAGGGCACCAACCCTAACTGGCTGTGAGTTCTACACTTAGATTTCACCAAGTGTGAATTCCTCAGGCACTAGAGCAGGCTAACCCTGGAGTCACCAACCATCCCCTTGTGTCTATCCTGCCACCCAGGCAAGTCTGCCTTTGTGACAGAGGGTCCCTCGTGCCAAGGATCACAGCAATAGTCAGGTTGCTCCCAGTCCCAAGGGGCCCCTCACTAAGCCCAGGTCAATTGCACCTTAGACCATAGGCACCGACTGGAGCACCCACGGAAAAAGAATGGTGGGTGCTGAGCAGCCCCCCAGCAGCGCCTCCTGCCCACCAGCGGGCCCTGCCCATCAGCACCTCCCCCTGCCCTGCAGCGCCTCCCACCCGCTGCAATCAGCTGTTCCGTGGTGTACGGGAGGGATGGGGGAGAGGGGAGGAGCGAGGGTGGAGCATGCTCAGGGCAGGGGATGAGGAGGGGAGGGGCAGGAAGAGGCAGGGTGGGGGTGGGGGCAGGGGTGGAGCAAGGGGGTGCACCCCCTAGGACATTAGAAAGTTGGAGCCTGTGCCTTGGATCTCACCCATAGACAGCACTCATAGCCAGTCCTGTAATAAACTCTCCAGTGCAGTGATACTCCGGAGTGAGGTTCGGGAGCCGCAAGTGGCTCTTTAACATGGCTCTGTGGCTGTTCATAGCACATGATGTTAAAGCCCCGTGTGATTTCATTATTAACCAATCCAAGTTAGTAACCAATCCGGATGCTTGTACTGTGTTATTAACCGACTGTGGAATAGTTGGCCGTTCGTGCTGTGAGAATAGTGTGTTAGTCAATGAAACAAGGAATTCACGTGACTGGAGCTCTTTTGGGTCATGTTGCTCACTAATTTGGCTTCTGAACGGCTGAGCTTGCAGTATCACGGCTCTATAGATGTATTGACTAGGAAAAGGAGAGAGGAGAGCAATTTGGGAGGTTAAAGTGGCTAAACACAGACACACCCAAATGAATTCCAGTCTCATGTTTCACAAAGTAATAGAAGCTTCTCTGATAAGCAGGCTCTATCTGTCCTTTGCGGCTAACCCAGGCTAAGCACTGGGAATCTCTTGCTTATGCCCAGTAATCCTTGCCCCTCAGAGTCCAAGCAACATAAAAGATCCAGTTCCTCCTTGTCAGGGTTTTTTATTCCTCTCCCCCTCCCCACTTTCTGCTTCAAGATGCAAATTCAGCTGCTGGGAGGAATTCAGGAGTATGGCTCCTCTTGGGGGAGGGGGCAGCAATCAGAAATCTTTCCTCCTCTGATGCTCCACAAGGGTTCAGCTGGTGTCACTGGGCCTCCTTGGTTGGGCCGGAGCTGAGACCTCCCGTTCACACCCCATTCGCACTGGTTAATGCTTCTCTCCTGTCTGGTGGTTGCCAGTTTCAGAGCAAAGACTTCACTGTTACCCCCTAGCATGGGACAAAGGTATTATAAACCAGATTAATGACCACAGCGACACACAGCATTCCATCACGTCCAACCCCCTAAGCTCATTTGTATAACGCTAATACCAAGGTTAATAAGGCTAACGCCCAGGGAGTCAGGCTGGCTCCAGCTGTGTGCTTGTCATGGGTCAGTCGACACCTAGGGGCCTTGGCATGAGCTGGCCCCTGATGTGCCAGAATCACAGCGGGGCCTTCTAGATCTAAGAGCAGGAGCGACTACAGCTGGAGTTGAAGAGCCAGGCTGTGGAAGTGGGGCTCTCTCGGAGGGGGACCCCTAAGGCCTGCTGCCCAGAGGGGTGCGGCAGCTTAGGGCAAGGAGGCAGGATATTGCGGAAGAGGGATTACAAGGGAAATAACAGCCCTTAGGAAGGAGGAATGTACCCTGGGCAGTGACGGAGGCGCTGGTACCAGTAACATGGTAGTAGCCCAGAGGATCTGCCAATGGGCCCAGTCCCCACATTTCCGCAGCCAGAGGGTTAGCTGGGGTGCTCCAAAGGCATTGCCCTGTGTGAGTGGCAGGTACTGGGGGACAGGGGACAGGTGGGTATTTCCAGCTGGGGACACGGGGGGGCTTTGCCCAGCAGCAGCGTGTGACCCACTGTGTCTCATCTGTGCAGTTCGAAGGGAAGACCTCCTTTGGCATGTCCGTGTTCAACCTCAGCAACGCCATCATGGGCAGCGGCATTCTGGGGCTAGCCTACGCCATGGCCAACACTGGCATCCTCCTCTTCCTGTGAGTGAAGCTCTCCACATGCCTCGCGCTGGGGGGTCGGGTGCGGCTGGGGCCGGGGGGGGGGAGGGGCCTTGGCCCACACTTGGGGACTGAATCTGCTGTTAGGCCTGTGTGGGTCCAGATGGGAAAGGACAGTAACTCCTAGCAATGTGAGAGCCTGGGCAGGTGGGTGGGTGGGTACAGACCCAATGATGAGAATGGGGAAGTCTGGGGATGGATGGATGGATGGAGGCTGGTGTGTGGGGATGGATGAATAGATAGAGGCGTGTGAGGGGCATGCGCACACTCAGCGTTCGCACGCTGCGGGTGTTACACTTGCTGTTGGGGGGCCGACCCTGCCTGAGCTGTCCCGCAGCTTTGCGGCCGCGCTGGCTGACAGGAGCAGGGATGGGCAGAGGGCCCGTGGGTGGCTGGGCCCAGCTGGGATCCCAGTGCCGCCAGTGATCCTGCTGGCACAATGGCTCTGGCTGCCCCGGAGCAATCAGCCAGACACGGGGGATTCCCCTGGAGACAAACTCGGCAGGGGCCAGACATGTCTCTGCCACCCCTTGGCACGGCACAACTCAGCACGCTGTCAGCTCCACTGCCAGCTCTCGCCCCCCCACCCCCGGCAGGCCCCAATTCCCCTCTCCCACATAGATCCGCCAAGGGCCAGTGATATGCAGCAACCCCCAGCTTGACCCATCCTACACCACATCTGACCTCGCCAGAGCCCCCAGGATGGCCTGGGCGAGACCAGCTCATGGGTGAAGAGCAGCTGGTAGAGGCCGAAGCCGAGCGATGGTGCTGGTGAGCAGAGGAATCATGCTGGAGACTCTGGGCCACAAGGGAGTCTCCCCCCAGCGCTGAGAGAGGAGCAATCAGAGGGCCGGCCCCACACTCTGGGGTGCCCAGATAGCCGCTAAGGGCTGTGTAGCTCTGCTGGCTGCTCTGCCCAGCTGTCCCAGCTGCACAGGTCGCCCGATCAGCAGCCGCCTGGTTCTCTGTGGGGCTGAGGAGCTGCTTGGCGGCTGGCAGTGGTGGGTGAAGGGGGCTACTGCCTGACATCCTCTGCTTCCCACTTCCTTGTTAGGCTGCGGCCTTAATGAGGAGCTGGTGGATCCGCCCTCCCATTCCCCACTGGTGGGAGCAGCGGGGCCGCCGGCAGCTGTGGACTTTCCCCCAGGTCGTTGCTTGTTGTGGCACTGCTCACAACTATTCAAACAAAGCAGCGAGGGCAGCCAAGGCCGGGCTTCCAAGAAGCCGATTTTCCATTGACCGAGAGAGGCGGGAGGTCCCTGCATCCAGGGAGGGGAAATGACCCCGGAGGGCAGCTTTCCAGGGCGCCTCCTGCCATCCCGCGGGGCTGCAGGGCACTCCCTGAGACCCAACCCCCTTGCGCCACGCGCTGTACACACCGATAGCCAGAACCGGCATCAGCCCCAAGGAGCAGGCCACCTAAATGGACAAGGGCCTTAGCTCTGTTGTGCGGATGGGGAACTGAGACCCCTCGCCACAAAGTCTGTGCCACAGCTGCCCACTGACCCCAGATCGTCCACAGCCAATCCACATCCTTCCACTGCTCGGTGCCTCCAAGCACCGCCTGCCCCCAGTGTCCCAGCCCCCCGCAACCCAGTGGGCAGTGGGCCCCAGAAGCCTTTCAGCAGCTGGCGTCGCTCTGTGAGGCCCCTCAGAAGGATCCCCCGATGCCGGCCCCGGGGCAGCTGTCACCCACAGGGTCACGTGCCAGGCAGAGGAGGAAGGCCTGCCTAGCTCAGCTCCTGGCGTGGTAATAAAACTCCGGACTGTGTGACCGGAGAGATTAGCGCTGCTGCTCGCCTTGGATGGCACTGGGAACAAATAGCAACGAGGCCACCCAACCAGCCGGGCACTGGGCCACTGTGCGCCAGGCAACGGGGTGACCTGGGCTCACCACCCCGCCAGCTTCCGGCGGGGGTGGGGTCTGTGGGTCACGAGGAGCTGGTGCTCATCTTGGTCACGTGTCCCTGAAAGCAGCGCCCTGCCCATCCCGTGCCCTCCGCATGGACGCAGCATCATCTGCCTTGTGGCCAGTGCCAGGCTCCAGTACAGGGGGAGGAGAAGAGTGGAAGTGAGTGCCAGCTGGGCAGGATGGGAACAAATGGCTGGGGGTGATGGGGATGCAGGGCCGCCCAGAGGATTCAGGGGGTCTGGGATCTTCGGCGGCGGGGGTCCTTCTGCTCCGAATCTTCAGGGCAGACATGGAGCGGAAGGACCCCCCACGGCCGAATTGCTGTCAAAGACCCGGAGTAGAAGAAGCGGTGGCGGGTCCTTCACTCCGGGTGTGTTCAGCGGCACTGAAGGACCCGCCACCGAAAACTCTCGTGGGGGCCCCTGAAAACTCTTGAGGGGGCCACTGTGGGGCCTGGGGCAAATTGCCCCACTTGCCCCCCCTGGGTGGCTCTGTGGGGATGGAGACCTGGGGGGCACCGATTGGGCAGGATGCGTTTGGGTGGTGGGGGGCACTGGCTGGGCATGGCTGGGTGGGGACCACTGGCTGGGCCGGATGGATATGGGCAGTGGGGGAAGGGTACCATCTAGCTAGCTATCATGTGCCTGTCACGATGGTATCTGGTCTGCAGCAAGCTCTCCTGTCCTGTCTGTGGGGTTGGCGCTGTGGAGGGAGTTGCTTTGCAGGCGGGATGACACCCGAGGTCGGCTGCTTTCATGGGCTCCGGTGCTGGGGTGGGTTAGTGCGGACACACCAAACCACAGTCCTGAACGCCCTGGCTGGGTGGCTGACCCTTGAACCAACTCAGCCCTGAGGACAGCCCCCTCCAGAGCCCAGCAGGCACCTACTCCTAGGACAATTCTGCTGCTTACTCACACACTCAGGTAGGACTCGGGTGAGGCCCAGCTCCACAGCGGTTGGCCCTTCCCAGAGCCCCCAGCCTGAGCCCCCGCCAAAGCCTCCTGGGTTTGTGCTTAGAACAACCACAGATGCTCCGTTGCTCACGAAACCTTTGGAGGCGCCTTGGGAGACAAGTCCTGCTTTGCCCTCCTCTTCCGCATGTGCCTCAGTGCATACAGCACAGCAGAGTTGATCGGCCCCCGGATTCCTCCACCCGTGAAAACAAGCAAAATTTCAGGGGAGATTCCAAAACCACTGGAAATTTTCCAAGAAATGAAATTCTGGAAACCCTGGTTCGGGGGCCATCTGTCACGGAGTCCCCGGGCGATGCTCTGGAACTGCTCCCTACGAAGCCAGGCAGGACTCTGGGGAAGTCTCCTTTCTGTGAGCAGCCCGTCTGCAGGACACACAGCTCACACGGCTTCCACCTTCCTGGGTCTGACCTCCGAGCACTCAGCATCCTCTGCCCCTCCGTGCGCTTCCCACAGCGAGTCCGCCCAGGCAGGCTCTTGGGGAACCCGGAGGGTCCTGCACCCTAACTTCGCAGTCAGACTCTCAGCCAGTGAGTAAAACAGAGGTTTATTAGATGACAGGAACATGGTCTAACACAGAGCTTGTAGGTGCAGAGAACAGGACCCCTCAGCTGGGTCCATTTTGGGGGGCAGTGAGCCAGACAACCACGTCTGCACTTCACTCCATGTCCCAGCCAGCGGCAAACTGAAACCCCCCTCCAGCCCCTCCTCCTCTGGGCTTTGTTCCTTTCCTGGGCCAGGAGGTCACCTGATCCCTTTGTTCTCCAACCTTTTAGCTCTCACCTTGCAGGGGGGAAGGGCCCAGGCCATCAGTTGCCAGGAAACAGGGTGTTGGCCATTCTCTGTGTCCAGACCCCTGCACACACCTGCCCTCTAGGGCTCTGCAGTGATCATACACCCTTACCCCATCACCTAGATACTTAAGAACTGCATAGGGAAACAGATGCACCCCCACACTATTCAGAGGAAATATTAAGAACAGTCCCACTTCGTCACACCATCGAAATGTTCCAATCTCCATTGCAACCTTTGAGAAATGGGGTTCGTTCTAGTTTTGCTAGAAAATGAAGTATAGTTCCAAACAAAGCGGTGTTTCACAATGAAAAATCAACAGTCCCATTCAGAGCTTTTTAACTGTTTTTTTTTTTTAAACCAGTTTTTTTCTAAGTGAAATTTCGTCCAAACCGCTATGATTTCACAGGAAATGTCAGTTTATCAAAACGGTATTTCCCCCAAGGAAAAATGTTTTGATGGAAGTTTTCCAGCAGGCTCATCCCACAAGCTCTGGGGAGTGGTGCAGTGCCATAATCTCCCCTTGAGATATGGGGAAACTGAGGCACAGAGCAGGCCAGAGACTCAACTACAGTGGCCCAGCCAGTTGATGCGAGAGCTGGGAATAGACCCAAAATCTTTGCTACGCGCACTGATCCGCACCTGTTCCCAGTTGCTTTTATCCAGTAATGGTGCAGCCTAGTGGATTGAGCCTTGAGCTGGGAGCCTAGGCACCTAGATCCCAGCTGCACCAATGACCTTCGGTGAGTCACTTTCCCTCCATGTGCCTCACTTTACATGAAGTTAATGCTCATGGCTTTCTCTTCGGGGTGAGGACCATGCCTGCATGTGCTTGTACAGTGCCTGGCGCAGCGGGGTCTTAGCCCTGATTGGGCCACTATAGAAAGGAGCTGCAGGGGGTTGGAGTGGATCCATGACTGTTTGCATCCCGCTCAGCCAAAAGAATAGAATTTGCGCGCTCGGTTTCACTTCCTGGTTCCCATTCACAAGTTCCAGGCTGCTACAGTGGGGAAAATCCATCTCCTAAAACACATGGGGGCAACTTGCCTGACCCCGCAGCCCATTTCTGCTGGCTTCAGAGGGGTCACGCCTGATTTATCCTGGGGTATGTATGCAAGACACAAACCTGTTTCTAGCCCCATGAGTTTTCTAGCCACCACACTTTAACAAAACCAGCATTCAGGACTCCCTGGTGGTGATCTGTGCTGTGAAACGACTGAGGCCGTGTCCGGGTTGCTGATTAGCTACGCAACATGGCAAGACACATGCCCTCAGCTCTCCGCATCACAGCAGAACTCAGGTGGATGTTGGAGAGCCGGGGGGGGGCGGGGGTTCCCTTTACTGATAGGAAAGTGTTTTTACACCTGAGTAAAACCAGGACAAACAAATCCAGAGACGAACCTCCAGCTGATGGCACTGATCCGCGCTGCCTGGTTCCCCCCAGCTGTGAACTCGCCCTGAGATTCTGGGGGTAGCAGGAGAGAAAAGAAAATCTTCTTCCCTAAGAGACAGCTGGGGAAAAGCCCATTCAAATGCAAGCAACGCTGGCAGGTGCCTTGTTACCTAGCGGGACTAATGACAATGGATCTGAGCGGAAAGTAAAAGGGCATTAATTAGCCAGGACCCGATCCTGTTCTTGGAGCCACACACCAGGCTGGGTGAGAAGCTGTGAAAAGGTGGTCAGGAGGATCGGCTTATGACATTGTATGTAAGTCACTCCGGTGCTGTGCCTTGGTTTCCCCATTTGTACGGGGTGGGGGGGGGCAATGGCACTGCCCTACTCCAGGCAGGGAGGCTGCGAGGCTGAATACCCAACAGAGCATGAGGGTCTCAGATGCTGTGGCTGTGGAGGGTCAATCAGAACCAAAAACCCAGAGCTGTATTTCGGGCCCCAGTCCTATGATGTCTGGCTGCAGTTGAAATGCCCCATCCCACTACCAGGCTGCCCTGGTTCCTGTTACACGTGTCAGCGTGTCCATGCTGCAGACAGGGAAACCGAGGCAGACAGGGGTGGGTGACTCGCCTGCCATCACACAATAGGCCAGAACCAGGAATAGGACCCTGGTGTCCTGTCCCTCCGCCCACTGTCTCCTGTTTTAAACTCAACCTGTCCTGTGCTTTGGGGCCAGACCAGGTGAGAGCTGCCTGGTGTCCTGGGTCTGGAGTGCAGATGAGCGCTCCACTCTGGCTCTTCCTTCCGCGCGGGGAGCAGCTCTCTCAGGCATCGGCGCATCAGACGGCGCCTTGTTTTCAGTGTGCCCTGGCCGGAGGCTGGTTTGCTGGCTCCATTCTCAGACACAGCTGCCAGCAGCCCCCAGGCACGTGGGACACCATCGAACTCCTACGACACAAGGCAGAGCCAGAGCCAGCCTTCTGCATCGCCTCTGCGACATCCTCTGCTCAGCGGGTTCCAGCCAATTACAGCCTAGGGGCTTTGCTCAGTCCCCGCGGCCTGAACGATCTCACTTTGGAAGCCAGAGCCAGCCCTGGTCCTCGCCGCTCTCCCACCACCAAGTATGCAGAGCCCCAAGGGGAGGCTGACGCCGTGTGGCATGACATGGCAAAGTGACACTTTGTCCTGGGTGATCTCGGGGGTTCCTGGGCATCACGATGCCCTCGTCCTGGCGCAGCTGTGGATGGTTTGGGTCCCTTTTGTCCAGTGCACCCAGGTGACACAGCTGTACCGAGAGCTGGGCAAGTCCTCATGTGGATAGGACAGCAGGATTCTTTGGGCGTGGATCCATCCAGCTCGGGGTGTCCTAACCTCCCCGTGGCTCCAATCTCATTCCAGAACAGCTGTGTCCAGCAATGGCTCTGTGGCAGTGGGGGATCCATGGCCCCCTCCAGCTCCTCTGGAAAAGCTCCAGGTCCCTGGCTGGCCAGAGGGAACCGAAGGCCCTTCCAAAGCAAACACGGCAGGCTGCGATTTGAAATGACCATAAACAGGAGGAGAGGGGCTGGGCAGGCCACATGCCTGGGAACATGTAAATAGCTCTGGGGGTAATGACATCTCCAAGAACAGTGCCGAGGAACAGGGCCCCCAGGCCGTCCCAAACCCCGGAGCGCCCCCAGACAGTCATGTCTATCTTCTGCCGCCAAGCATCAGAGTGCCTGGGTGCCTTCCCTGTACCCCTGACGGGGTCAGAGCTCTGCTCGTGGGTGGGCTGTAGGCTTGATTGGGGGAGGTTAGATTGTTATGAATTCACTGCAATGGGGTTGTCTTAGTTGATTTGTTTCAGGCTGATTTTAATTGTTGTTTTCCTAGGTGGGTGGCTGATTGGTTGTTTGAGGAACTGTGTGAGTGGGTGAGCTGTTGGTTGAGTAGGTGGGTGGGTGTTTGTTTGGGTAGGTGGGTGGTTGATTGGCTGGGTGAGTGAGCGGCTGGGTGGTTGTTTGGTTGGGTGGCTGTTTCTTTGAGTGGGTGAATGATTGATTGGTTGGCTGGATGGGTAGTCAGTTGGTTGTTTGGCTGGGTGAGTGTTTGGCTAGGTGGCTGGCTGGGGTTTGTTGTGGAGCAAAGTTGTGAGTGTAGCTCCTATGGTGGAAGGGCCTTTTCAAAGAGGTTGGAGATGTTTCCTAAAGCCAGTTCGGCTCTGGGCTCGCTCTGGAAGTTTGCCCAGCAGCTGGACACTCCCCCTCCGCCACGATCCGGGGGGAGGGATAGGGATGCGAGGGGAGGGATAGCTCAGTGGTTTGAGCATTGGCCTGCTAAACCCAGGGTTGTGAGTTCAATCCTTGAGGGGGCCATTTGGGATCTGGGGCAAAAATTGGGGATTGGTCCTGCTTTGAGCAGGGGGTTGGACTAGATGACCTCCTGAGGTCCCTTCCAACCCTGATATTCTATGATTCTATGATCCAGGACGCTTCGCCTATCCTCTCCACGCTTCACCCTCCTCCCCTCCCCTGGGCTCTGCATCGCCTCGAGGAGCCCAGCTGACCCCAGGGCTCACAGATGGAGATTTGGCCTTTGGGTTGGCTGGGGCTCACTCTGCTCCTTGCTGGGAAGGTGTGGCCCAAGGCCACAGACTGGCATCAGAAGTGACTGGCAGCCAGTGGCAGGCGGGGGTGCAACAGCACCCACTGCCCTCTGGCCTCCAGATACACCCCAGGACGGGCATCAGGAGAGCGGGGAGCGGGGGCCCGTGGGATGAGCTAGAGGTGTGTTTCATTGACTGGGGAGAGACCACTCCTAACAAACACCCAGCCCTTAACTCTTGGCTGGGTTCCACAAGGTTAATGGGTTTTCTAAGCCCCCACCCCCCATTATGCCACGGCAGCTGCAGGCTCCAGGAACCACTGACAGGCAGCAGCTCCTCCGCTCTCCGCCCAGCACCACGAGCAGGTGGGATCCCGAGACGCGGATCGCACAGGTTGCGGTGCAGCTGGAGCCCTGCCGTGGGGCGGAGAGAGGGGCCGGGTGGAGCCTGCACTGAACCCAGTGGGTTTTCCCCGGGGGCCAGCAGGGCCCTTTGGCTGGTGAATCCTCCCAGTTCCCCTGTATCAGTAACACGCTCACAATCTCTGCTCCAGAAGGGTAAACAGGGGCACAGAGGGGCTTGGGGTCCAAAGGTAATGGGAGTGCCAGGACTCCACTCCTTGGAGAATCTGGCCCTCAGAGACACTCCCGGGCCACGCGGTACGTCAGCGCCTGTGACCCCTGGGGCTCTGGCCTGCCAGCCCTGAGCTTTCCGTCCCAGTAGCTCCCACCCCGATGCAACCTCCTAGGGCTCTGCTCTCGGCTCACTCATCTCCCGTCTCATTCCAGCTTCCTCCTGACCACAGTGGCCTTGCTGTCCAGCTACTCCATCCACCTGCTGCTGAAGTCCTCTGGGATTGTGGGTAAGACCCCAGCCAGGGAGGATGGGGGGGTCATCTCCAGGCCCAGCTTTCCCATTTGTGCCAGGTTCCCAATCCCCACACTTGTCACTTTGCACCCCCAGCTCAGGGTGGACTGAGGCTGACTGACCGCCTGCAGCCGGAGGGGAATGGCCTTTGCATGGCCAGGTAACCGCACTGCCGTATGCTCCCTGTGTGCTAGGTGCCAGGCGGGGGCAGTGCGGGCAGGTGTTTGCCCCACTTGTGGGGTTTTGCTTTAAGCCTGCAGGTTGCAGACGGATTGTCCCGCAGCAAGTCCCAGCACCCTGTCACTGCAGCCCACGTCAATGGGGCTGTGCGTCGGGCGAGATTACGCCCTGGGGGCCAGGGGCCAATACACCAGATGGGGGTGCTCAGCTCTCAGCCTAGGGGGCCAAGGGGCTAGAGCATCGTGCGGGGATGCAGTCGTCTCCCAGTCCCCTAGTGCAGCAGCTATGGGGGCTCCATTCAGGGGAGGGGTCGTGTCGCAGGACTGGGTGGCCTGGGGTACTATGAGGGGGACGGTTCATATCTTGAGGCTGAGTGTACCTGGATGCCGAGGGGGGAGAGGTCGTGTAGTGAAGCTGGGGGAGGGGTCATGTGTCGGGGCCGGGAAACCTGGGGTGCTCTGGGGGGGAGGGGTTGTGTCTCGGGGCTGGCAGAGCTCCCTGCCCCCACCCCACTGCTAGCCCAGGGCTGAGGGCACCATGCTGGGGCTGGCATTCCTGGGTGCTGCTCCCTGCTGGTGTTGCCCTGGTGCGTGGCCCCTGTGGCTGCTCTCACCCTCTGATCATCCCCCCTGCAGGGATACGTGCGTATGAGCAGCTGGGCTACAGGGCCTTCGGCACGCCAGGGAAGCTGGCCGCGGCCACCGCTATCACGCTGCAGAACATCGGAGGTAGGAGGGGAATGGGCAGATTCCCTGTCCCATACAGCTTGGAGCCACAGCTGGCACCCTGGGGCACCCACAGTGGGCTCACCTAGCTGGGGCACCCACGGGCGCTCACCCAGCCAGGGCACCATCTGGCACCCCCAGGCCCAGCTAGGGGGTCGCCTAGGCTTCCCCACTGGGGTAGCTGTGGGGAGTGCCTGGCAGGGTTGCAGCTGGGAGGGCGACGTCTGCTGGGCACCAGTAATGTGGCCATGCTGGGGCTGCCCTGCGGCCCCTCTGCTCTCTACAGCCATGTCCAGCTACCTGTACATTGTGAAGTCCGAGGTGCCTCTGGTGATCCAGACCTTCCTCAACCTGGAGGAGAAGAGCACGTGAGTCCCTGTGTGCCTGTCTCCCCTCTCCCCCAGCCGGCCACAGACCCCTGGCCCCATGCTGGTGCCCAAAACAGCTGGGCCCCGTGTGTGGCCACACGTTGGCCATGCTCCAGCCAGCACCGGGGGTCAATGTCATGTCCAGAGGCCCCTCGGAGAGCTCGAGAGGGGAGCAGGGGCCCAGTGTGGGTGACCATAAGCCCCCCAGCTCCAGTGGGTGGAAGGGGGATGGGCCCAGTGGGAGGAGGGGGAAGGGGCAGCCAAATCCGCAGCATCCAAGCCCCCCAGCCAGGGATCCCCAACCAGGGTGTCTCCCCAGTGCAGAGAGCCCAGGCACCACATGGCCAGGGGGGGCATCAAGTGCCTCTGCCAGCCCCTGCTCCCTGGCTCCAAATAGAAGGGGATCCCTAGCAGGGCTGGGCCCAGTACCCACCCCTCGTTCCCAGGGCCAGGTTCAGTGCCCCAGCCAGTGGTAGAAGGGACGTCCTGAGGGCCCCTCGGAGAGCTCAGGTGGTAAGAAGGGGCCCAGCAGGGGCAGGAGTGACCCGAGGCCAGCGGCTTGAGCCAGCTGGGGGTGCAGGGAAGGGACACTGCTTAGGGGAAGACCGCAGCGTGGGGGGGTTGAGTTGCAGATGCTAGTCACCACTTGCAGCCAACCCCAGCTGGGCCGGACCCAGCCCCACTTCACGGGAGCCAGAGAGGGGCTTTTGCATGGGGAAACAGCCAGCCCAGGACACAGCATGACTCCTGCTATCCCAGTCCTGGGCTCTCCCCACAGCTCTGGGTGCCCCTCACTCCCGACCCGCAGCCCCTGCTAGCCCTGCTCCCGGGTGGTGCTTGTCTGGGGATTGGTGCACTTTAGGGGTCAGATGGAGCGAAAGCTGATCTGCCCCGTGATCTGCGCTAAATCTGACACACGACCTCTGAGGGAGAATGTTCCATGTGACTCCAGCCGCCTCCTCTTATCCATTGGTCTGTCTCCTGCCCCTGTCCCTGCCCTTCTGCCTCCCCGGGATGATCTCCTCCCCACCGTGAGGCAGGCCAGCGCTATTAGCCCCCTTTCCCAGTTGGAGAAACTGAGGCACGGCATGACACCCCTCTGCAAAACCAGCTTGCCCAGGGGATCCCAGCTTGGGACTTTCACCCAGAGGACACCTGAGCCTCCTGGTGATTGGTTTGTACCAGGCTGTGTCTGTGCCCTCCTGTCACGCTCGCAGCTCCCTTCTCTCTGCCCTGCTAGCCTGGCTCTGTCTCTCACACTCCTTCTTCGGTGCATTTCCTCTCTCCCTACTTCCTGCCTGTGCCTCTCTCCTCTAGGCCTCTGCCCCCGTCTGATCTCCGGCTTCCCCCAGGCTCAGCTGTGTCTCACGTCCTGTGGCGGCCGGGCAGATCTGGCCTCCAGCCTGTCACAGGGATTTAGCCGTATTTAGTAACTTCTATTTTAGCTTGATGCCAGAGCTGAATAAGCCTTTGGTGTCGGATTAAACCAGTGGGAATGTCCAATCCCTGCTTCCTTTTCCTGTGGGCAGAGCCAGCCCCCTGCTGGGCACACGCCTTCCACGGGGTGTGACTCTCCATGTGGCACCGGGCCAGGGCAGCTGGCACTTCCAGGCACCAAGGGGTTAACGCGGCAGCTGGCGAGGTTGCTGCGCGTGTCACTACCACTCCAACATCCATGCCGGGTGCCAGAGCCTGTCTCCCGGTGCCTCTATCGGTTCATCCGGCTTCCCACAGGCCGGCAGAGGCACTCCATGCCCGGCACCCACGAGGCCAAAGGATGGGTCACTCCTGGCACCCTGAGCCCATCTCTCCCCTGGAAGTTAAGTGGAGACCGGCCGAACCGGAGCCGCCCAGGCCCTGAACTCTGGGTGTTTGGGTCTAGATTCTTGCACAGGCACAGCATAGCGAGCGTGTTGTTGGGCCTGGCAGCCACTTGCAGGCCCGATCCTGGCACTAGTCAATGCTCAGACTCCGTTCCAAACAGCTCCACGTGCGCCCAAGGACCATGCCCCACCGTCCCGCATTAGCACAAATCCCAGCATCACAGTGCTGCTTGCTCAGGGAAGGAATGGACCTGGGGGTTCTAGCCAGGGATAGAACTGGGGAACTCCCCACTATTTGATGTGAATGGTATCAGTGCCTGGCACTGTGAGCTGGGCTCACTGCAGTGACGAAATGCTGGATTCTGCTCTGAGCCTGGGGTGGGGCATGAGTGGCACGTCTCCTGGTGCACCAAGGGAGAGGAGAGATGAGATCCAGGCCCATGAGTCAAACGACCCACGGTGGGCGCTACAAACCGTTCCCATGGCAACGCTGTCCCCACAACCATCGCTAGCCCTGCAAGTGGACCCAGCACTGCACTACAGTCCCCCCCAGCATGGGTGCCCATCACCACAGGCCTCAGGCCTAGTTTTCAGCCCGTGGGAGAAGCCATGGGCGAGGACAACAGGAGGTTGCTCATTCCCCACACATTCCTAGGGATCTTCTTCTGGCTTCCCCAGTGTGGCCCTGACCCAATTCCCAGGGACCGTCTTGAGCTGGAGGACCCCGAGCCAGAGACAGTCAGGTCCCATGGAGGAGCCTGGAGCCCCATCGGGGTGGGGATTAGCTGCCCATGGGGGTGAGCAAGGGGGAGCCGCAGGACAGGTCATCTGGTCCAGGCCAGGTGGATGCCCGGAGCCACAGTGGTCACTGGCACAGTCTCCGCAGAGCTGGCTCAGTGCGGCCAGGCTGAGCGCCAGGGCACGTTAAAGGTCCCAGTGATCCCTGCACAGAATGAGCTCTGTCTCTGGCCCAGCCGGGCTCTGGCCACATCCGAGCGGGGTGGGGGAGGCAGATGTGGCTTGAGGCAGAGTACTCCCAGGGGGCCACGCAGGGTGTGGCCATGTGTCTGGGCAGGGGCAGGCAGCCAGGGGCATTGCAGTTCCGGCGGGCAGCCCAGCACTCCTTCCAGAGGGCAGGGAGATGGGATAGCAGGGGGCTGCGGGTTGGGATTGAGTGGCACTGGCGGAGCTGGGGGGACCTTACACCACATTGACTTGCTCAGTTTTCCCGTTCCTGGATATTAAATTGCTTAACACATGTGTTAGCTGCCCACCCCATGTGCCCATTGTGGGGGATGCTCAGGAGCAGGCAGGGTTAACCCGTAACTGCCCCCCACATGGGCTCTGCTGATGCCAGGGCCTCTTGGGGAGACTTGGGACCCATGAGTTGCACTCTTAGAGTGAGTGGGTGGGAGGAGAGGGGCAGAGGGAGACTCTCCAGACAGCAGGGCTGCAGCAGGCCCCCCAGCTGGTGCAGGGGAGGGGGCAGCTGATGGGCACAGAGAAGGAGCCAGCTGGGGTGGGGGTTGGCACGGCACGGCGGGGTCGGGCATCCAGAATCAGTCCCGGCTGGTCCTTCCCACTGAGGCAGGGGGGTTGCTAGCCCAGGCTGGGGGTGGGTATTGACCGAGGCGCCGGTGTCAGCCCCAGGGCCCCCGGCGCTGGAGGGCCTGACCCGGCCTCTTGTCTCGCAGGGACTGGTACCTGAATGGGAACTACCTGGTGATCCTCATCTCCATCACCATCATCCTGCCCCTGGCCCTGATGAAGCAGCTCGGTGAGTCACCTGCTCGGGGCCAGGTCGGGGCTGGCAGCTGTGGGGAAAAGCGTGGGGGGGGCTGGGGTGCGGGGTACCCGAGAGAGGGGCCCGTTGTGCATTGTAGGTGCCTGCCCCACCCCCAGCTCTGCTGCATGGACGGATGGGCAGCACATCCCCACCCACCCCTGGCACAGCGGGACAGGCAAACGCCATGTGGGGCGAGCGGGTGGGGAGTTGAGGGGAGCTGGGATCAGAGCTGGGATGCAGCGAGGGCTGGGAGCCAGGCTGCTTCGGGCTGAGGGCGGGGCAGGAAGCGGGGAAGCGAATCTTAGGGGGGAAGGAAGGGAGATAGCAGGGAGGGGAAGTGTTTGGAGGGCAGGACCAGCCTGTGACTGGAGGAGGGAAGCGACAAGGGGGCCAGTGGGGTCTGTCTCTCGCTGGGGTTGGGTGGGCGCCAGGTATCTGTGCCACCGCCCTCCATGCCGCCCCTTACCCCACCAGGGCTCATGCCCCCACCCCACACATACACCATGCACCTCACCCCTTGGAGCCCCATCCCCATATGCGTCTGGGCCAAGGGCAGAGTCCAGCTAGGGGACTGGAGGCAGCAGCCTGAGATGAGTCTGATGCCCATGGCTGGTAAGTGGGGTAGCTGGTGCCCATGGCTGGATCTCTGCCCATCGCTCCCAAAGCAGACTGAGCCCTGAGGCTCCGCGCCCCAGACCTCTTGGTGCCAACCCCATGAGGGCCAAAGATGATGAGCTGGGACACACCCAGCTCTGCTCACGCCCACCCCCTGCTCTCCTCTCTCCCCAGGCTACCTGGGCTACGCCAGCGGGTTCTCCCTCAGCTGCATGGTCTTCTTCCTCATCTCGGTGAGTCTGCCAGGGCCCTGGGGAGCACCAGTTCCCCCGAGAAGGGCCAGCAGGCCGGACGTGCCTAGCCCCTGCCGTGCTGCAGGAACAGTGGCGCCTGCTCTCCCGAGGGGCACACGCCCTGACCTGGGCATGGCTGGAGCTTCCCCTGCGTGTCTCATGCGGCCACTGAGCTGCTCCGGATTCCAGCTCCCTGGGACTCCCTGGAGGTTCGGGGGGAAGCCCCACGATTGCCCCCCCCCCCCACGGGGTTATCCCTCTGCACAAGGACCTGGGATGTGGGGACTGGTCCTGACTGACGGGGGGGGCCCCGTTTCCTGAGCCATTCGGGCTGGCTCACACCTTGCTCCTCATCCTGGGTGGCCTGGCCGGAGCTCGGGATGCTGCTGCTGCTGGGGAGGGATCGGGAGCACAGGGGCCACACGAAGGGCCTGACTCTGAGTGATGGGCTCTGCGAGCTGAGGTGGGAGATAGGGGGCTCAGTGCATGAGGAGCCTGGTGTGATCTCAGCCCTGGCATGAGGAGCTGCACACTGCGCTGAGTGCCACGCCTCTGTCTGGTGGGGGGGGCCGGCTGCGGCTACACGTGGGCAGAGAGCAGCCGCTCTCCCCTCACCAGGGTCCCTGGGGCAGCTGCACGGCCTGCCAGCTCTGGGGAGCTGGGTTTAAAGCTGGCGTAGCTCCCTGGTGAAATGTGCCTTTTCTAGCGGCCAAATGGCTCCATTCTGCAATAGCTGAAACACTGCAAACTCCACTTTGGAGGGGCCCTGGCCTGGCGTAGGAGGGGGCTGCGGGTCAGGAGTGAGGAGGACAAGCAGAGCTTGGAGGAGCCCAGGGCTGGGAGCCCAGAACCCTCTGTTCCCGTTGGCCCTGTGCTGGGGGTTGCTAGTGACTCCAGCAGAGGTAGGACGGGGCCTGGTGGCTCAGCGCTCGCTCCCGCGGCTGCCCAGGGCTCCAGATACCAGCTGGGGACTCTAGGTCTCTGCTCTGGGCTGCGGAGAAGGGGTGGGACCTGCTGGGCTTGTCATGGCTGCTCGTGGCCCCAGACAGGGACCCTGGCCTGGCAAGGGACTGGTTTATTTCTGGTTGAAGAAGCCTAGGCCCGGGTGGAGGGGTGGGCGAGCGGCTGCTGGAGAGCGCTGAGCTTTCAGGGACAGCAGAACACACGGAGAGGTTCATGCCCGCGCACAAAGGCACACACACTCATGCCCGTGCACAAAGGCACACGGAGAGGCACACACAACGCGCCAGATATGAGAATTCTCTGCCCATCACCAAACCCTGCTGTGACGTCAGGCCCTGGAAGGGCCGAGCGTCTCGCAGGCAGGTGGGTTTGGCTCCAGTGCCCACAATCTGAGACCGGTGCCCCCAGTTCAAGGCGGGAGCAGGGGTTTCCGGCAGGGCAGAGAAGGACCCTGAGGGTTGGACCAGGAAGGCCTGGCTGGGTCAGTCAGTGATGCAGGGGGATGGGCCGTTCTCCCCTGCCCCATGATTTCCCCCTCATGCTTGGGCAGCACCCGTCTCCTTCGCAGCCTTTCCTCCCAGGTTCAGAGCTGGGGCTGAGCCACTGTGGGGCCGTGGGCGACACTGGCAGGGCCGGGCCCTGACCAGGTTTTCCGTCCCATCCCTGCCCAGGTCATCTACAAGAAGTTCCAGATCCCCTGCCCCCTCCCTGAGCAGGATGGCAATGGCACACGCAACCTCAGCAACGCCCAGGGCAGCACCAGCGACTATCAGAATGGCTACCCGGTCCTCCAGCCAGCTGCTGCCGGGGCCGCCTGCTCTGCCAGCCTCTTCACACTCAACTCCCAGGTACCACCCGCGCCAGGTCACACTGCAGGCCAGCCAGGATCCCGTTGGAGCCCTGCTCTGGGTGCGGGTGTGTCCCGGGAATGCTATGGCCATGCCCCAGCCCTGCCACTGACCCTGCTGCCATCTGGCCAAGCCCAAGGACCACTAACCATGCCTCAAGCCCCCAAAATGGCAGGACTGGCTCCCAAGCCGTGAGACTTCACAAAATCCCCTGGCTTTTCCCTTCGCCTTGGGGCGTCTGTGCCATCGGGTTGTGCTTGGGCCACTTTTCCTCTGGACCCAGAGATGCTCTTTATTTAAAATGCACACCGAGCTTCTCCCCGGCTCATGTTCCTCCAGGAGCTGGGGCTTGGTGGGACCCAAACTCAACTGGTGGGAGCCGGCAGTTCTGCACTGGAGGTTGTGAGCCCGGCACCCTCCCCTGGGCCCTCTTGGCCACTCCACTCCCATCCTCCCCATTCATCCCACCACTGGGTCATGCCCAGCTGCAGGGACCCAGGCCAGGGGCGCTGGGCATATGGGGTGCTCTGGGTAGCTCTTTGTAGCCGGTGCCCTGCACCGTTATCCATCAGCCCTGCCCCGCTAACCCTTGGTGTCTCCTGCAGACAGCCTACACTATCCCCATCATGGCGTTTGCCTTCGTGTGCCACCCCGAGGTGCTGCCCATCTACACGGAGCTGAAGGAGTGAGTCCTGGGGGGCCGGGATGTGGTGGGGCAAAGGCGGAGAAGGAGGCGGCCCCGGGACCCTGCCCCATTGCTCCCTAGAGGAGCCTGAGCTAGTGTCGCTCAGCCCCTGAACCCAGGGTAGCTCCGTGGTAAGCACAGGGGCGACTCCAGGTATATGTCAACGTGGCAAGGATCCATGCCCAGATGGGCCCCCACCCCTTGTGGCTAGACCATTTACCCCAGCCAGGGGCCCCATTGCTGCCCTGGGACTCCCATATCTGGGTTCTGCTCCAGCGGGTTCTGGTGCCACCCCTGCCTCATTGCCCAGAGCGACTTGCCCTCTGACTTGTGGCACCTGGAGCCCAGGCACGGGGCCACTTGGGGGCACTCCCAGACATTCTGGGGACCCTTGATCCATGCCAGCTCTGCAGCTCACGCCCTCACCTTGCCGGCCTCATGGCTGACAGGCCCACGTGGGGCAGGGACCACCCACCATTCGCCTGCCCCTTTCTACAGCAGGGCCAGTAGTGGGAGTAGCTCCTGCCTCCCGTCCTGTCTCTGTGTCAGGCCGGCACCCTCTCCTGGCACCGGAGAGCCCTGCTTTCAATGAGGGTGGCTACTCGGACAGCTGAGATGCCCGCAGGACACAGCCTGCAAGGAGCCCTCTGATGCTTGGTACTCCAGGGGTAGGGAGGGCGATGGGGTGCTGCTCCCCAGCCAAACCTGCTGGGGCCCATCCTTTCTGGGCTGCCAGGCACCAGCTGGCGCCACGGGGTTTGCCCCAGAAACGTGCCTCTCCCTCGCCAGTGCCAAGCAAGAGGGACCCAGCTTAGCAGCCTGGAAAGGCCTCAGGACTGAGAGCTTGGCTCCGCGGCCGGAGCAGGGTGAGCCCAGCCCACGCGGGTGGCGGCTGCTGGCAGCCGGCGAGTCTAACCCTGCCTGCTGTGGGCATCCCGCAGCCCCTCCAAGAAGAAGATGCAGGGCATCTCGAACATCTCCATCGCCGTCATGTATGTCATGTACTTCCTGGCTGCCCTCTTTGGCTACCTCACATTCTACGGTGAGTGCCCACCACCCCCCACCCCCCCCCGGCGAGACGATCCCCGCTCCCCCTCCCATCGCTAGCCCCAGAGGGACCCAGCCGGCACCTGCCAGAACTGGGTTACTGGCTCCATTGGCTGCCTGGGAGCCATGTGGTTCATGCAATGGGGAAGCCCTCTCCTGCCAAGGTTCTCCCAGACCCAGCCATGGCAGGAGCCATGGGACTCACGGCTATGGGGCTGCCCTCTCCCGCCCAGGTACCACCAGACCCAGCCATGGCAGGAGCCATGGGGCTCATGGTATGGGGCAGCCGTCTCCTGCCCAGGTACCTCCAGACCCAGCTGTGGCGGGGCCCCTCCAGTGCAATCCACCCAGCGAAGTCATGTTGCTGGGCTCCAAGTCTAGGGCTGACCGGTGCCGCTGTCACGCACCAACCCAATGCCTCTCCAGGCCATTGCAGAGCCATGTTGGCTGGTTTCCCCATGGGACAAGTCTCCCCGTGGGCCAGCGGGATGAGCGGGGCTCGCCCTGGGTGAGACTGAAACAGGTTGTGTCCTGCAGGCCGGGTGGAGTCGGAGCTGCTGCACACCTACAGCTACGTGGACCCCTTCGACGTGCTGATTCTGTGCGTGCGTGTGGCAGTGCTGACCGCCGTGACGCTGACTGTGCCCATCGTCCTATTCCCGGTAGGTGATGCCACCCGCCAGCCGCAGGGGTGGGTGAGGGGACAGGGCCTTTCCCCCACCATCAGAGGTTCTGGCTCCCTGTGCAGTGCCCCACACTGGGGAACACTGGCGCCATGGTCTCAGGCCCCTGCACGGCTTCAGTTGGCACAGGCTGGCCGCTTGTGGGTAGTGCCAGCAGAAGCTGGATGGGCCTTGGCAACTGAGGGCAGCCCAGTGTGGAGCCTTGGCACCGCGTGGTCCTTGTCGGGCCTGGGGTTTCTCTGGCTGGGCCTGGCCCTGCATGGGCCGCGGTGAGCACGGGAGGGACACGACAGCAGCAGGAAATGGACGTTTATACAAACTGCAGGAAGGGAGTTATGGGGGCCAGCCAGGGACTGGGGCGAGAGGGGCCCAGGGACCACAGTGATGGGCACCATACTACAGGTTGGCCCTCGCGGGTGTGGGGCAAGTGGGGCCCAGAGGCCATGGTGATGGGCACCATACTACAGGGAGTCCATGGCGGGTGTGGTGGGCCCAGAGCAGACTGGGCTCCGGAAAGGGAACTGGCTGTGGGCCCAACGCTGGGAATGCAATCTGACCCTCTCCCCACTAGGTGCGCCGCGCCATCCAGCAGATGCTCTTCCAAGGCAAGGACTTCAGTTGGGTCCGTCACACGGCGATCGCTGTGGTCCTGCTGAGCACCATCAACCTGCTGGTCATCTTTGCCCCCTCCATCCTCGGCATCTTCGGCTTGATTGGTGAGTCCTGGCGCGTACTGCCTGAGCCACCCCCACGGCACTGCAGGGAGCCCGGCACTCCCCACACTGGCACCCTGTAGGCTGGGAAATAGTGTCTGGTCTGTCGTACCAGATTCCCAGCCCCCCAGCCCGTGAAATCCACTGCTCCTCCCCAGCAGAAGGGTAGTCTCCCATGCACACTGCCCCCTGCTGGCCTGCCTCAGCCCTGGGCTGGAGGGACCTGTACAAACACGGCTCGGCCACACAAGGGAAGGAGTGCCGGTGGGGAAACTGAGGCACTGAGCGTCCTTTGCCTAAGGCCACAGAGTGAGTCAGTAGCAGTTCTGGGATCGGACCCCAGTGGTGAGGGAGTTCAGTCTCCACAGCCTGCTACAGGGGAGGCAGCATTGCCTACTGGTTAGGGCTGGCCTAGCAATCTGGGCAACCTCAGCTAGGTCATATCCCCTCTCTGTGCTTCAGTGTCCCCTCCCAGCCTGGGGCTGTCTGCTCCATTCCCTGCTCAGCCCACGATCTCTGCCCCACAGTACTATCAGTACAGCATTGGTCCCTGCTTCAACTGAGCTCCCCCAACTCCTCTCAGGAGTGGCCCAGACAGACAAAAGGCCCCCCTCCCTTTGCTGCTCCCCTCTGATCATTGTAACCACAGGATTTAAATGCGGCACCAGCTGCTCTCTCTTGTCCCTGGACTCTGGAGTCCCGGCTTGTCCACTGTGTTAGCTCAAAGCCCAGGGCTCAAGGCTGAAGCCTGGGGGCTTCTCTTTGTTTGCAGTTTGGGTGTTTTTTTAATTCCTGTTCTGCCTCTGCACTCATCATGCCAGATCTGTTCCTAGTATCGGGGGTAGCCGTGTTAGTCTGTATCCACAAAACCGATGAGGAGTCCGGTGGCACCTTAAAAACTAACAGATTTATTTGGGCATAAGCTTTCATGGGTAAAAAACCCACTTCTTTGGACTCCTCATTAGATCTGTTCCTGGGATCCCTGGCTGGCCACGGGGCAAGGCTGGCACCTGGGGATTCTGCCAGGGTGGCTAGTCCCACTGTTTCCAAGGATGCCAATAGAGGGGGGAGGTTTGGATCTAGCCAGGTGTGGGGCTTGGCTTGGGGTCAGGTGGTTGTGGGGGGCTGAGAGCTGCTGGCTGCTCCCCCGCACCTCAGTACCCATTCTCTCCTGATGTTCTCCAGGTGCCACGTCAGCCCCCTGCCTCATCTTCATCTTCCCGGCCATCTTCTACATTCGCATCGTACCCAAGGACAAGGAGCCCCCGAAGTCCACCCCCAAGATCCTGGTACATCCTCTTCAGCCAAGCTGACTGTTGGGGGGAATCGTGCCGCTAATGGGCACTGCATGGGGATGATTTAGTTGGGGATTGGTCCTGCTTTGAGCAGGGGGTTGGACTAGATGACCTCCTGAGGTCCCTTCCAGCCCTGATATTCTAGGATTCTATGCAGAGGGTGGCCCTGGGCCAGCATTGACTCTGCTTTTGGGGCCCCCTCCAGAGGTCTCCCGCCCAACTCTCAGGGGTGCTTGGTGCTGACCCCCCCACTGAGAGGCCATAGGACCAGCAGGGCAATCGGCACAGCTGAGGTCATGCCTCCCTGCCAGTGTGTTTCAAATCAGTCACCTAACATTAATAGCTATCAATATTCTGAAAACAATGGCCTTAATTTCCAGAGTCCTCCCCTCTGTGTGTATGGCGGGGGCACAATTTTAGGGGGAACCACAAATCCCTTGCACTTTGCAGAGGGTTGGCTCTCACTTTAGAAGCAAGGAGGCGCATTTATAGCATGGGAGGCTCCTCAGATGTCACGAGGATACAACCCACGAGTCCTGAATCTGAGACCATCACCACTAACCACTAGACCCCACTCCCCTCCCACAGCCAGGGATAGAACCTAAGTTCCCTCTAAGCTGCACAGCTGTGCATCAGGCTATTAAGGGCCACGCAGGCACACAGCGGGGAGAGGCACCTCTCATCTGGCCCCGGACTACTGTGGCAAGAGAGGGCTGGGGGGAGTCGAGTCCTCTCTCCCCAGGGCAGCCTGCACCCCAACCCCCTCATCCCCAGCCCCATCCCAGAGCCCGCACCCCCAGCCGGAGCCCTCACGCCCCCACACATACCAACCCTCTGCCCCAACTCTGAGCCCCATCCCAAACCCCTCATGCCCAGCCCCACCCCAGAGCCTGCACCCCCAGCCAGAGCCCTCACCCCCTGCAATCCAACCCCCTGCCCCAGCGCTGAGCCCCCTCCCACACTCTGAACCCCTCTGCCCCAACCCGCCACACATCACCTCCAAATATGCACATAACAACATTCATTCCACACATGGACGTAAAAAACATAGAGGGACCATTGGATAGAACACAGGAGTCCTGAATCTCAGCCACACCACCACCACTAAGCCACACTCCCTCCCAGAGCTGGGGATAGAACCTAGGAATCCTGGCGCCTAACCCCGGCTCTAACCACTGGACCTCGGGAGGAAAGGGCCTGCAGAAGAAAGGGAGATAGTTATAACAATTAAGTTTGGGCCGGGGGGGAGGGGATGAGCTGTGTGTCTGAGGGGCATGGATGGGTGTGGTCAGGTGCAGAGCTGTGTGTCTGAAGGTTACAGGGGGCAATGTCAGGGGTGGAGCTGTGTGTTTGGGGATGCAGGTGGGTGGTGTTGAGGGTGGAGCTGTGCATCTGAGGGGCATGGTTGGGGCGGAGTTGTGTTTCTGAGGGGCACAGTCGGGTGGGGTTGAGGTCAGAGCTGTGTGTCTGGGGAGAGCGGGTGGGTGAGGTTGGGGGCGGAGCTGTGTGTCTGCGGAGAGCCAGTGGGTGAGGTTGGGGGCGGAGCTGTGTGTCTGGGGAGAGCGGGTGGGTGAGGTTGGGGGCGGAGCTGTGTGTCTGGGGAGAGCGGGTGGGTGAGTTTGGGGGCAGAGCTGTGTGTCTGGGGAGCGCGGGTGGGCAGGGTTGGGGGCGGAGCTGTGTGTCTGAGGGGCACGGGTGGGTGAGGTTGGGGGCGGAGCTGTGTGTCTGTGAAGCACAGGTGGGTGAGCTTGGGGGCGGAGCTGTGTGTCTGCGGAGAGCAGGTGGGTGTGCTTGGGGGTGGAGCTGTGTGTCTGGGAAGAGCGGGTGGGTGAGGTTGGGGGCGGAGCTGTGTGTCTGGGAAGAGCGGGTGGGTGAGGTTGGGGGCGGAGCTGTGTGTCTGGGAAGAGCGGGTGGGTGAGGTTGGGGGCGGAGCTGTGTGTCTGGGAAGAGCGGGTGGGTGAGGTTGGGGGCGGAGCTGTGTGTCTGGGAAGAGCGGGTGGGTGAGGTTGGGGGCGGAGCTGTGTGTCTGGGAAGAGCGGGTGGGTGAGGTTGGGGGCGGAGCTGTGTGTCTGGGAAGAGCGGGTGGGTGAGGTTGGGGGCGGAGCTGTGTGTCTGGGAAGAGCGGGTGGGTGAGGTTGGGGGCGGAGCTGTGTGTCTGGGAAGAGCGGGTGGGTGAGGTTGGGGGCGGAGCTGTGTGTCTGGGAAGAGCGGGTGGGTGAGGTTGGGGGCGGAGCTGTGTGTCTGGGAAGAGCGGGTGGGTGAGGTTGGGGGCGGAGCTGTGTGTCTGGGAAGAGCGGGTGGGTGAGGTTGGGGGCGGAGCTGTGTGTCTGGGAAGAGCGGGTGGGTGAGGTTGGGGGCGGAGCTGTGTGTCTGGGAAGAGCGGGTGGGTGAGGTTGGGGGCGGAGCTGTGTGTCTGGGAAGAGCGGGTGGGTGAGGTTGGGGGCGGAGCTGTGTGTCTGGGAAGAGCGGGTGGGTGAGGTTGGGGGTGGAGCTGTGTGTCTTGGGAAAAGCGGGTGGGTGTGCTTGGGGGTGGAGCTGTGTGTCTGGGGAGAGCGGGTGGGTGAGGTTGGGGCGGAGCTGTGTGTCTGGGGAGAGCGGGTGGGTGAGGTTGGGGCGGAGCTGTGTGTCTGGGGAGAGCGGGTGGGTGAGGTTGGGGCGGAGCTGTGTGTCTGGGGAGAGCGGGTGGGTGAGTTTAGGGGCAGAGCTGTGTGTCTGGGGAGCGCGGGTGGGTGACGTTGGGGCGGAGCTGTGTGTCTGGGGAGAGCGGGTGGGTGAGGTTGGGGGTGGAGCTGTGTGTCAGAGGGGCAGAGGTGGGCTGGGTTGAGGTCAGAGCTCTGTGTCTGAGGGGCAGAGGTGGGCAAGGTTGAGGGTTGAGCTGTGTCTGAGGGGCTCTGGGTAGGTGAGGTTGGGGGTGGAGTTCTGTGTCTGAGGGGTGGAGTGGGCAGGGTCAGATGTCTGGACCTGTGCCCGGTGGGCCGAGCCCGCCCTGGGGCTGATGTCTCCTGCCCCCTGTCTCCTCCCTTGCAGGCTGCCGGCTTCGCGGGCCTTGGCGTGCTCTTCATGGTCATGAGTCTCAGCTTCATCATCAGCGACTGGGCGATGGGTGGCGGCAAGAGCGGGGGCAGCCACTAAGAGGGCAACAGGAGGCACCCTCCTGCCCCCGCCCCACACCCTGGGAGATGGGGCTGACTGAGCCATGCTCCCCTGCCCCTGTCCTGCTGCTAGTACTGTCCAGCGACCCGGACCTCACCACTGCCGAACCAGGGATGCACCCGCAGCCCTGTGGCACTACTGGGATTTTCCCAGCGCAGGCGAGCCAGCCCTTCGCAGCCAATGAATGTAGCATGGGGGGGGGCGAGCAATCCGTGGGCCTGGCTGGGCTGGGCCAGTCCGGCCGGGGAGCTTCAAGTGCCAGAAGGAGGAGAAGCAGGTCTAATGGTTGTAGCATGGGAGTGGGCTCTATTCCCAGCTCTGCCCTTGTCCGGCTAGGTGAGCTTGCCTCAGTTTTCCCATCTGTAAAATGGGGCTGCTACTTCCCTACCTCACTGGGGGCTGGCTGCGAGACGGAGCCGCTCCATGCACATGTGGAGCAGCCAGAAGGCCCCCGATGGCGGTGCCAGCGAGGCAGTCAGAGGATTGTTCCAGGGGGGCAGGAAACAGGAAGCGAGTGCTGCCAAGTGGGAAGTGACGCAGACAGAGGGCACGTCCTGTCAGGGAGCAGCTTGGCAGCGAAAAAGAAACGAAATGGGGCAGGGTGTAGTGCTGTCCTGTCCTGTGCCTCAGTTTCTTTTTCCCTGCCGGGACACAGGGCCAAACACGCCCTTCCGAAGCCCCTTTTCCTGTTGAGTGGGAGGGGGGGTCCCACGCTCTGTGAGGCAGCGGCAGAGTTGTGCTAAGCCCGCAGCCATGATCTCACACCTGCCAAGGAGGGTGGCATTTGGGGTGAACTGAGGGGCAGGGACACCCTGCACTGGAGGGAGCAGGGCCTTGGCATATCTCACCTTGGCCCGTGTGGGTGGAAGGTCCAATGCCAGCCCTGGTATGCCCCCCCCATCTGCTATCACAAAGGGGGCCTTGCCCGCTGCCTGGATCAGCTCCCTGCCCCACAGCACTGAGAGACATGGCCCAACCGTGCCCCCTTCTCAGGAGGGCCTTCCCCACTGGCTGGCAGAGGGTGCCCCACTGAGAGTTGGCAGTGTGTGCTGGGAATTGTGGCCCTGCCATTGAGCCTGTATAGAAACTAAACAATCCCTAAAAATTGATTTGCTGCTAATGGAAATAGTTTAGGAGAACCTACATTAATTTATATTGTATATGTGTACACATACACACACACGCGCGCGTACACACATACTGTTGTTATTGTGTTACTGACCTTGCGGTTAGTGATTTCCATAGGGTGCCCATCCCATGCAGACCGTGTCAGAGCTGGGAGGGTCCAGTGAAATTGTGTTTGGTTGGCTGCTGTCTTCAATTTGGGATGCCCCCTCGTTACTGCTTGTGGTGGGCATGAGGAGAATCAGTTCACCATGGGCCTCTCCTTTTGTCCTCCCACCCGGCCAGTTCGCTGGGGGAAGCCAAACCTGGGGGTGCCGGCAGCGTGCACCTGTTTAATATCTTCTGCCCCCCCTTTGGACAGGTCTTCTCCACCTCTCTGACCTGTGGTCCCATCAGACTTCAGCCCAAACCAAAGATGGCTCCCAGCCCTCTCCACATGCTATGGTCATGGGTCCCTCTTCCTCAGGGTCTGGCTGGCTGAGGGGCAGGACATGGGCAGAAGAAGCCACCCTGGATGTGGCCTCCTCCCAGACCCACAGCAGGGGCTGTTCTTGGTGCCTTGGAGTGGGGAGACCTGCAGAGCTCCCTAGCTAGCTGTGGGTGGGGGTCCCCAGGCAGTGAGGGGGCCTCCTGGCCTAGCTGCTAGTGAGAGTTTGACCGCGCTAGCCCTAACGCCGTGGGAACCACGTGATGGCTTTGATTTCCCCAAAGGGAGAGGCCGCGTCACTCTGAACTTTTCCTGTGTGAACCTGAAAAGGGTCCTGGTTATACTGGCTGTTGCTGGGCTGGACTGGAAAGTGAGCTGGTAGAGGTGCCTAGATTGTAGTTAGAGGAAAAACCCATGCAGAGTCACAGCTCACCACCCAGCTAGTGAGGGGCTGGGCCTGTGTTCGCCCTCGATCCTGGCCTAAGGGGGCAGGCTGCCTGGGTATGTGAGGGTCACTCATGGAGGGGTGAAGGCAGCAGCGTTGTGTCTGTGTTGGCTGGCAGGGAACCCAGGTGGGGCTCCAGAATGGGCACCCCTCTGAAAGGAGTTTCTGGAGGCTGGGGTTCAGCTAGGAGAACTGAGGCAGGTTTTTCTGGACTCCCCCAGGTGCCTGGGCTTCTTTGACAATGCTCTTCAGACCTCCCCAGGGGTGGGGTGCTTCCCCAAGGGCCTCTCCTGCTGTCCTGCCCGCCCAGTTGGCTCCCCCAGCCCTGAAGCCAGAGCTGGGGGTCCAGCAGGGTGAACCAGCTGCCTTCTTGGGTATACAGCCATGTGCAGGCCTGCGGTGCTGATGCCGTGGGGCGCATGGGGTTCCTGCCTGAGGCCTCCCCGGGCCCGGCTGCAGTGTCACACCCTCAGTGGTCAGGGCACCCATGGACACAGGGGGCTGTTTGGGGCCGCTGTGACTCAGGGACGTCCCAAACCAAGGCACAGCCGCTCCCCCAGGGCCCGGCCAGGGCTCTCTCCCGGGTTTGGCCAAGCAGAGGAGGGTCCCTGGGCTGGAGCGAGACCCATTCATGTCCTGTGGGGGGGCAGCCCTAATGGCTGGGGGCAGACGAGGGTGATCAGTGGGGAGGAAGGGTCAGGGTGGGTGTGTATGTAACCCATATGCCTCCTGGGTGTTGTGCTCTGTCCCCTCTCGTGGTACAGAGACCACTTAGAGATTAGTGAGTCTGCTACAGCTGTAGCTCAGAGGCACGTGGCTTTTAGCTGACACAGTAGAGGCTCATACACTAAGCTCCAGAGGTCCCAGGTTCCATCCCGCCTGCCAATGACTGGGGTCTTGTACATGTACACGAGGGGGGGCAGGGCCCATGGGGGGAGCTGGTGATGTGCTGGCAGGTTCCATTCTGAAGGACAGGGAACACCCTGGGCAGCAGAGGAACGTGGGGCTTGATCTCCCGAACAGAGAACACCGGTGGCTCAGCCCACGGCAACGTAGGGCCCAGACACCAAGGTGACGGGCACCAAATACCTATGCAGTGTAATGAGTCATGGTCTACGGGATGATGCTGCCCCCTGCAGCCCAGGGTCGTCATTGCCTTCAATGCATCCAATGAAGTGACCTGTAGCTCACGAAAGCTTATGCTCAAATAAATTGGTTAGTCTCTAAGGTGCCACAAGTACTCCTTTTCTTTTTGCGAATACAGACTAACACGGCTGCTACTCTGAAACTTGCCTTCAGGCAGGCTCTAGCTCCCAGCATGACTGGGTGGTTTGGGTGTGTCAATTGCCCCTCGGTGAGCCGAGGGCGACCCCCCGCACCTGTGCCCTGGGAGATACCTGCCCTGTAAGCCAAAGAGCAATTGGAGAGCAGGTCGGGAGCGCCCCACACGAGCTGGGGGACATGGGGAGAACAGGCCTATGTTGATGTGCAAAAAGGCGATGCTGGGGGTGCACTAATGTATTCGGATGGCAGAGGACATGGGGGTTGAGGGCTGGGGAAGGAACAGCGCCCCTCCCTCTGTGCCCTCCCCCTCATGCCCCAGTTATCAGGGAGTGGGCGGGCACGTGTAGGGCACCCGGCCCACAGCTGCCAGCAGGATGGCCCTTCTACCCCACGAGTGCAACCCCTGTTCTCCCACTAATGCAGGGCCAATGGCAGGCCTGTAGAGGGCGCTCTGCCCATGCACTGCAGCCTCTACCCAGCACCCACCCGGCACAATGGAAAGATGCCCACAGACGTCAGGGACGCAGGATCGGGCCCGAAGTCGGTGCATTATGCGCCATCACGTCCCCTCCACAAGGGGTGAGCAGAGCATCTCCCCACCCTCCCCCCCACCCCTGCCCCTGCCATCCACCGCTGGGGAAGTGGGCCAGGGTGCAGATTCCCACCCTGTGCTAAACCCTCCCTGCAGCCTTGTGCTAACACTGTCTGACTACCTGCCAGCCCGCTGCTCCAGCCCGCAGCACCCCCCAGCCGCCCGCCTGCCCCCATCATTCCTCTGGGCGCCACATGCCCAGGAACCTCTAGGGCACGCCAAAAAACAAGCGGTCGCCTCCCAGGCTCCATCTGCTGCGTGACAGGCACCCTATGAATTCGGTGGGCTGGGGGTAGGGGATGTGCTGGGACACACACGGCGAGGGGTATTTTTGACAACCCTCTGATTGCAAGCGAAATTAAGCAACGCACCATTTCTTGGGGTTGACTAAGTGCAAATGAAGTAACTCAGAGATGTATTTTTGTATCGGGGTGCAGGAAGCTGGACAGCTTTGTGTCAATACTGTATATAAAAGTAAGGGTTTCTAAGGCATGCTGTGTGGCTCTCAGTAGCTCTGTATAGTGGATTATATACGTAGTCAGTGGAGAGGGACCACTCTACCAGATGACCTGCCTACGCCGCAGAGAACTGACCACGAGATTGGGCCATTCCACAGGCCGGTGGCCACTGCGACATTGGCTAGGGGGACGTCTCCAGATGTCACTGTGCCGGTGTTAAACTGTCTCCCAGTAGCCTGTAGAGGCTCTCCATCAGATCAGGGCCCTAGTGAAGAGTGGGGAGGGCTAGACAGTTGCAAAGCTAAAGGGTCAGCTTTTAAGTCAGCTTTATAAGGGCCCGATCCTGCGAGGTGCTGAGCGCCAGCCCGGCAGGGGCAGGCGTTGCAATCAGTGGGTGCTACTTGCCTCCCAGGAAGGGCTCAGCACCAGCACCACTCCCACGATTGAGCCACAGTCTTGGTTACCTGGGGGCTCTGTGGTATTGGAGAGCTCAAGTTGCTGTGCCCTGCTGGCGTGGCAAGGGAGGTGTGGGGTGGCTTGTAACCACAACCAGGGCTCTCTGCTTCTCCCATCTTGGCCGTGCTCAGTGGGTCGTTGCGCTAGGGCGCGTGTGCCCCTGCCTGCCCATTAAGAGGTGGCGGGGCCCGGGTCAGGTTAGCCAGGTAGTGGCAGGTTGGTCCGGCCATCCCTCTCCATCGCTCTGTCCATGAGGCAGCTCAGCAGGCTCCAGCGTAAGGGGTAAAGGGGATTTCAGTCTCACTCTGCATTCGGGACCCTCCTGCAGGGGTCGGGCTGAGCCTCCAGTGCCAGCCCTAGCCTCCGATGCCCTGTTTCTTCCCTAGCGCATTCCCAGCCTGTGAAGGGGGAGCGAGGCGCTGGCCAAGGAGCCGCGTAGCTGTAGTGTGTGACAGGGCTAGCGGTCGGTTTTAAATTATATGGTTAAATTAGATTTTTATTTGGAAAGGAAACAACCCCCCCTTTTTAAATAACAATAAAGGAAAAGCAAAACCTCCTTGGATCCGTGTGTTCTTGACGCTGGGAGCCAATGAGACGGACCCAGCGTGCAGAGAGCTGAGGTCCTGCAGAACTACATGCGTGCGTGACTGCAGTGCACATGCCAGACCCATACTAAAGACCCGTGGCTCAGGCACAGAACGGGACGTACAGCACACACGGATCAGTGGGGAGCCACCCCCACTGTAAGTGACTCGCTTGTGAATTACTGCATGGCATGGTGACTGCCTCTATACAAACCAATGAGCTCAGCCTCTTCCCATGCGGCCAAAAGCAGATGTTTATCCCCTTCTGGGGTTGAGATGAGCGTAAGGTAGGCCTTTCATCTGGGCAGGCTGAAAATGGACACAAGGAGATCATTATTGGTGCAGCATGCAAAATTAACACGTGGAACTCACTGCTACAATGTATCACTTTGGCCACCAGCAAAGTAGCTTTCTGTTGTTCGTTCTTGTTGTTTTTTAAGGATGAGGCATTTATATAGAGAATAAAAACACCCAGTGTTATCATGGAGAGACTCAAACATCTAGAAAGGTTTTAAAGCCACATGCTTCAGGGCATAAACCAACTCGGACTTAATGCAGGTCAGGAAGGAACTGCCCCTATGGACAGGTTGTTTGGTCATTGTCCACTAGGGGCTTTCTTTCCCTTTCCTCTGAAACAGCTGCTGCTGGGTTGCCGTGCTCCGCCAGTTCCTGTGTCCCATGCACGTGTGTGAGCGGGTTGGCAGTGCAGCAGGCTCATGCTCTCTGTGGTACAGTGGGTGCACAGCAGCAGAAGCCCAGTCCGTGATCGCTGCAGAGCGACTGTGCACAGTGCAGTAAGTGCAATGAAGACGTTGGTCCCTAGGTCGCAGGGGAGACACATCAGTGTCAGCCCAGCCTGCGAGTGTCTGTTCTAAGGTCCCTGATGCACGGGGAGATGGGTCAGGCCTCCTCTGCTTGGGGAGCCCAGGGCAATTGCTGCCTGGGCCTGGCCCCATCAGCGCTCGTTTGCTGTCACCGTGTGGGTGGACCCGAGGCAATGGAGAGCACAGTCAGGCAAGCTCCAGCGATGCTGCCGTTCAGTGAGCTTCACACGCAGCCCCGATTTGAGGTAACTCTGCTCCAGGCAAAAAAACGTGGGGCTGCTGTTTTGTCCAGCATCATGAATGAAACACGCCAGGGTTAGGCCAGGCTTCGGATCGGAGACCACCCCACAGCGCTCCAGGAGCCAGTCTGCGGATGAGTTGGGGCTCTTGCACAGTGCTAGGGGCAACTGCGCAGCAGGGAACGGGGGAGGATCACCTCAGGGTCACTGCCCCAGCCACATGCTAGGGCCTCTGGGCAGCAGGGAATTGGGGGGGGGGGCTGTCACCTCTGCGCTCAGGGTCACTGCCCCAGGCCTGTGCTAGGGCCTCTGGGCAGCAGGGAATTGGGGGGGGGGGGGGGCTGTCACCTCTGCGCTCAGGGTCACTGCCCCAGGCCTGTGCTAGGGGCACTGGGCAGCAGGGAATGGGGGGGTGTCACCTCTTCTCTCCGGGTCACTGCCCCAGGCCCATGCTAGGGGTGTTGGGCAGCAGGTAAGAGCCAGCCCTGGCCCTGCAGAACTTAACTAGACATGTTGTGGGGGAGACGCACCCAGCAGCTCAGTGGCAGAAGCAGGCGTAGAAGCCAGGTCTCCCAAGCCCCGATGCTCTACTTTGCCCACTGGTCCATGCTGCCCCAGCTGGACAGTTTGGCAGATGGCGTGCTCATCTCCCCGCTGGCCGAGGGGGCTCTGGGCAAGCCCAGCAGCACAGAGAGCAGTCAGGACTGTGTCGCAGCAACCAGCTATTTCTTGGGCCAGGCTCTGACCACGCAGGAGACATGGGGCTGCAGGGTTGAGGGGAAGTGCCCCCCCCGACCCCTGGCAGCACGCCAACAGCCTGGCAATGGCAGGATGGGAACAGGGAGTCCCAGGTAGAGGGCAGCTGCTAGGCCTGCACGGTGTGCCATGAGGTTAGCTGCATGGCAAGTCATCCCCTGGCCTTCGTCTGGTGCTTTGCTCACAGGCAGGTGGCTGGGTGGCACTGCTGTGGGTTGTGAGGGCAGCGAAGCAGGGGAGATGGGGGCTGGCGAAGAGGGTGAAACCAGTGGCTGGATGGGGGCCTGATCCTGCTGCCATATCAATTGTCCCCTCACACCAGGGCCTGTCACAGGGTAACTGGCCCTTTAAGGGCGCTGGGCTCAACCCCTGCCCATTACCAGGCTGGCAGGTGATGGATGTGAGGCTGGGGCTTGCCCTGCAGATAAGCTGATTTAGAGACCAAGCAATGCCCCGAGAGGCAGAGACAGGCAGGGGCAGGAGCCCCAGAGCCGAGCCGGTCTCCCCATGGGCGGGATGGAAAGGCCTGGCTGGGCAAGACCTGGGGCAGGGGCTTGCCAGGCAGCTGAACGGGGCAGGCTAGTGCAGAGGGCTCAGAGAGCCTAGGGGACCATTCCCTCCTCCAGCCTGAGCATCCATCTGCTGCCGGCCATTGGCTTCCACCCCGCTACCCCGTCCTGAGCCCAGTGACTCTAGCCAGCTCAAAGCATGCCAGGCCTCGGGAGCCCGCTGGGACCAGGCGGGACCGAGAGGCCTTCAGTGCCTGAGGGAATGGCTTAGGTGAGCCTTGCCCAGGTGAACCCCAGCAGGTATCCATGTCCCATGCTGCAGAGGAAGGAAAAAACACCTAAGATGCCAGCCGGGGGGGTTCCCGTCTGTTACCCAGCCAGAAGAAGTTCAGGTCTAGGGCAGAGGTGGGCAAACTACGGCCCGCGGGCCACATTCAGTCCATGGGACCATCCTGCCCAGCTCTTGAGCTTCCGGCTGGGGAGGCTAGTCCCTGGCCCCTTCCCTGCTGTCCCCACTCCACCGCA